ACCAGATGTGTTCTTGTTATCTTGACGTCACTGAGATGTCATGAACATATTAGGTGTTCGTATTATTGTTTGAAATAGTATATATATATAGTTGGTTGGTTTGTTTGCTTGTTTGTTGTTTACGCCGCACTCAGCAGTTTTCCAACCATGTGGCGGCGGTCTGTAAATAATCGAGTCTGGACCAGACAATCCAGTAATCAACAACATGAGCATCGATCTACGCAATTGGGATACGATGACATGTGTCAACCAAGTCAGCGAGGATGACCACCCGGCCCCGTTAGTCGCCTCTTACGACAAGCATGGATTCCTGAAAGATCTGTGTACGAAGCACAAGAACGAGAATAGAATGCACCGCTCGTTGGTGTGAGAGTACTCCCGCGTCCATTCAAGTAGGTGTAGAGCGCTCGGCTGACTAAATAAATAATGAAATCGTGTGTGCAGAATCGAAGTCGGGTAAACATACAAAGGTAAATATGTAATGAGGTCATGTGACTGTAAAATGGGGTTAGTAAGACTGATCAGTATGACTGATAATTAAATAAACATTTGGTGCAGATATGTTTGTAAAACGACAGTGTTTATCCGAGGAAGTTAGTTTCTCTTTGTCCCATTTTATAAAGAAAGGAATAATGGCATTATGTATCAACTAAATCTGCATATATTCAGAATTATCTATCCAATACAACGGAAAGAAGTATCACAATACCTACTATTTTCAGCTCCCATGTAGCCAGATATATTTATATCATTAATATGTCTATTTTTATGATTATTGTACCATTCGGGCCAATCATATATTGATTTCAGATATGCACGTGCTACGGTCACAGGCGAGCATCACGTGCAGTACGTGTTCCCGTCATCAAGCAAATATCAAGTGTTATTAAACTTTCTGACAGCTAGATAACTTGCAAAATCAATTGATTTCGTTATTGATAAGCAACTGTATAAAGATGGCACGTTATTAGTATGCAGAATGCTGGCATGTCACTGAGGTTATTGCAAGAGCAATTTACTCCCCAGGGAGTTGAGATTGATAATACGATGTGCCGTTGAGACTGACATCCAATGATCGAGGGGAAAAAAAGACCAGCGGCTTGAGCATGCACTAGTTGCCTGGATATGTGCGCTATATAAATATGATATAATCATAAATAAAAGAGCTATTGATTGTCATCCTTCGACTATCAGTCTATTGTCCAAAAACCATCAGCAAGCTTTAAGACGTTCAAGACCGGCAGCTTTCAGGGAGGATACTCCTAGGGAGGATACAACCCTTGCTAGAATCACTACAATCACGCCTTTGTCAGGCGGCATGTTAAAAACAGAGTAGCTTCCACATCGATGTGAGTCAAACAGAACGGTCAGAAATCGCCTAAAACTGGCCGGGTATAGAGCCAGACGACCTATCAGATGTCTGTTGTTAACCTAAGAGCACAAGGCAGCACGGCTGTCTTGGTGTCAAGCGCGACGTCACAGGAATGAGACGTCATGTGGAAGGGTTCGTTTATGATTGATGGGTCGTGTTTGGCAGAAGCACTGTATATGAATACCTTGGAGCAGGTGTCATTTGGCAGGTATTCATTGATCGTGTTGGGTTGCCTCTAACGTGACTGTAAACATTGTAAACATGACCTTGTGAAGATGAGACAAAATTTGAATGTACATTGTCATCATGGACGACAATGCCAGTGTACATCGTGCACATGCCGTTGGTGTTTTTTCTGTCAATATCTCAATCCAATAGATCATGTTTGGGACATTATGGGCCGTAGAATACGCCAGAGAGATCCTCTGGTACAAAGTCTGCTTTGGAACAAGCTCTTCATCAAGAAATGACCGCAAAACCCCAGCGTCAAATTCAACGTCTAAATTAGTCAACGAGAAGGAAGGTCAGGGAAGCCAGTTGTCATTTACACCACATACTCACATTGTACTCGGTTACTGACACTTATGTATGGAATCCTGGAAGGGAGATTGTCGCGTTGTCGACTAACGGAGGCGACTAACGGAATCGGGTGGTCAGGCTCGCTGGCTTGGTTGACACATGTCATCGTATCCCAATTGCATTGTCGCGATGTCGCGTTTTAGTCAATATTTAGGCTTTTTTACACATCTTAGATAGGGCGACAATGCAACGCGACATATTTTGACCTTGAAAATTGTCGCTATGTCGCATTGTCGCCCTTTGGAGGAATAGAAAAATATTATTCAAAACGCAACATGCGACATCGCGACAATGCGACAAATGAGCGAAATGTCGCGTTGTCGCATTGTCGCATTATCGCGCTTGGGTTAATTTTGCCTTATTTTGCTTGTATTTGAGAGGGCGACAACGCGACAATGTCCCTTCTGGGATTCCATACTTATGTCACTCCTTGAGGTTTGTATGTCACAATCATAGTTATGCCGACCATAGTTATCAGCACTACAAAATGAGTCATTTTTGTACATATTTGAATCTCTTAATAAAGTGCCGTTTTTAGTTCTTTTTGCGTTTGGGGTCAGTGTATCCAGCAAGTTCAATTGAAGTGAGGTTTGGGTAGTTCCTTTGCTACGGTTAATTGTAATATGTTGATACTTTGTAAAATATGGGATGTTGCGATACTTTTTCATGTGTATAGTTCGGATAATTAATGTTAATCTTTAAAGGTCGCACGATGTTGACATCGGAGTACTTTTGTTAATAGCACTGTTGATAGAATCAGGGATCATTAGCCCTGAAAATATTTCTCCCCTTGGTTCTGTTATGTCGAGTAAAACTATAGGATACATTATGAACATTTCCCTCAGATGGGAAAGGTACTATTATCAATTAACTACACACAGTCTTCCTGACTAACAAAACCTAGGCGTGGATTGCGTTAGTTGCACCATTGTTCCAGTGAAATAGGCGCTGTGGACGCCAAATATTTGTCTTCATTGTCACCATGTTTGGAATCGAACCCACGACTAAACAAGTGAACATATTACCCTTGGGTCATTTTACAACTCACCTGTTTGAACGTGTCATATGCAAATTCAGCTTTACTCAAGGTACATTTAACTGATAAAAACATAACGCAAATTAACGTAAAACATAAAGAACATCATAAATTGACGTTATTCCAAATAATACATAAAATGGTAACCAGGCATATACCGATGGATACCGTATATTCCATCTATCAGCATTAATTCAATTCAAATATTTCTATGTTTAACAGCATGTACATACCTGGATTTCTCTCAGTAGCACATACAGTACCACACCCAGCGTCAGGGCCAGTCTTGTCATCTTGCGTCGAGAAGGTTAATGCAGTAACAGCTGTCCCGACTCTATAATGTGTACTATGACAAGCTGGTTTTCCCAACTTGGACGTGGCCACAATTGCTTGTGACAGGATTGAAAAAAGGCATTGGCCAGGTCAATCTTTAAATAGAAATGTAAAAAGGAAACGTGACGATACGTTCTGATTCATTGTCGTATCGTCGTATCTGAGCATTCCCCTACTGACCTTGAGGCTGAATCACTATCAATACTGAAGGTTGTAATCCTTAATGTAAAGGTTGGCGACACGACTACTCACGCCGAAATGCATGAATAAACAAACTGATGAACTATGTCATGTCTTATTGATCTCCGTTGCCGACACGTTGTCTGATTGTGTAATACAAACTATACAAGCTGGAGATGCAGGTATTCAGGATACTAATTGTGTCCCACAGAATCCACTCTTGAAGCTTGGTTATCAGCACCTATAGCATGGTACCGTCCATGTGAATATATGTCGACGGTTACCTCAAGACCACTTTATTGGGATGTCTTGAACCGCTTCACAGGTATGTCAAGTACCACTTCATAGGTATGCCAAGAACCACTTCCCAGGGATGCTAAGAACCACTTCATAGGGATGCCAAGTACCACTTCATAGGCATGCCAAAACCCGCTTCATAGGGATGCCAAGAAAGACTTCATAGGTATACCAAGAACCACTTCATATGGATGCCAAGAGCCACTTCATAGGGATGCCAAGAACCACTTCATAGGGATGCCAAGAACCACTTCATAGGGATGCCAAGAGCCACTTCATAGGGATGCCAAGAACCACTTCATATGGATGCCAAGAGCCACTTCATAGGGATGCCAAGAGCCACTTCATAGGGATGCAAAGAACCACTTCATAGGGATACCAAGAACCACTTCATACAAATGCCGTGGCTAGTAAAAATCCAGTCGGGTCAGTACATCTCCACAGTCACTGGCCCGACTGGCAAGTAAATGTCCATGGGGTCATGTTTAAATATACCTTTCTCCGACCCGTTAAGTTATAATACATACACTCGTTTAGATCATAGCCTGATAAATGATGGTATTTTAACTCTTTGTAATCTTTTGCTTAGTTTCTACATTCAGATTTCGCGCTAATGAATTATTTTGTGGGCTAGTAACTTTCAGGCGTAGCTGGCCCGACTGGCAAGCAATATTTTGAAACTATTTCGCACACTGAATTGGTGTATGATGACCGGCATTAACCAAGTCAGTGAAGCTGACCACCCGATCCCGATCTCTTTGCTGAAGATCAATTCTAACCCAGATCTTTACGAGCTCAGAGGTAACAACCTCTACACATGAATCAGCATGAGCTTGTCACACCAAACGCCCGGGTTCGATTCCCCATGTGGGTACAATGTGTGGAGCCCATGTCTGGTGTCCCCAAACGTGATATTGCTGGAGTATTGCTAAAAGCGGCGTTAAATCCAGCTCACTCACTCACTTTACAAACGAATCAAACGTGGAAACGTTAGGACCATAATCGAAGAGCTTGGGATTCGAGTGAGTGAATTAGAATTTAACGTCACCTCGGCAATATTTCAGCCATATAGTGACCTTGGGATTCGAACCCCAGCCGGTGAAACTGGACACTGTAAAATAGCCAACAGGAACTTGGGGCACACCGACTGGAGATATGTAGAAATATTATATTAGGATTAAAGTAACAACAAACCAAAAAATATATATTTTTCATCTTTTATTTCCGTTTTGTTCATGTACATGAATATTTCATGTTAGCTGAGGACAGTTATATACAATAGTTTGACGATGATGTCTCCTGTAGATATCGTCTTATAGTTATACTTACATCCGTACAGGATCAAGATATCAAGGTAAACAAGCATGAACAACAAAGCAGAAATGTATAAAAAAATAAACTTAACATGACTGTACACGCATGAAAATTGGACAAGAACAAAATATTACAAATTACTAAGCTGAAACCACACTTTCGGTAGACGATACGTGTAATGTCGCCTACGATAGCCGCATTAGATCTATCTCCCCCGACTAACAATACCCCTGTGGAGAATGGAACCCGGGCCTCCAGTGTAACGATCGAACGCTTTGACCACTCGACTACCCCCACAGTCCCTGGGGAATTAAAGGTACTCTTTTCTGTTTAGTCTAAGAATACAATGCAGAGTAATAAGGGTCAAGGTCACTGATGTACTCATACATGGCGTTGAATGTCAATACATAAATTGTATCCAATACGGCGTCAGGGGGCCTACATGCATATCTTCAAGTTCCAGTTGTTAAACCACGCGAATAGCAAATCAAATGAACTGAAGTGTGAAATATATACATTTTTACTTCAACAATAAATGAAAGCATACAGTCGGATGACCTCGACATAGGGTCATGCATGTGACTATCACATGACAACATACAATGGCTATACCGTAACTGTTCAGTCTGATCACAACTACTTTGTCTCAAATTAGAGTTTACACATCATTTCTGTTGAGCACAGAATAGGTACATAGCCCATTCTTTCTTTTGTGTTGTGTATGTTATATACATGAAACAAACGAGTGATGGGATTCGAACCACGGACCTTCTCATCCGAAGCCGGACGCGTTGCCCACATAAGTGAGTGAGTTTAGTTTTACGCCGATTTTAGCAACGTTCCAGCAATATCACGATGGGGGACACCAGAAATGAGCTTCACACATTGTACCCATGTGGGGAATCGAACCCGGGTCTTCGGCGTGACGAGCGAACGCTTCAACCACCAGGCTACCCCGCCGCCCCTCCCACATGACAAAACAGGTCGACCTCGTCAACAAGCTGGATGTAAGGATGTCACGTCACTGAAATGACACGGCCTGTCAACAGAAGGCAAGCTTCGGTATAGTAGGGTACTGACACGTTGCTCAAATTCAGTTGGGGCGGTTGGGTAGCCCAGTGGTTAAAGCGTTCACTTTTCACGCCGAACCCGGGTTCGATTCTCCACATTGGTACAACGTGTGAAGCCCAGTTCTTGGGTCTCCCGCCGCATTATTGCTGGAATATTGCTAAAAGCGTCGTAAACTTAAACTCACAGTGCCATATTAGTTCGTAACTACCATAGTTCGTGATACGCATTTCGACTGGAATAAACAGCAAGCACCAGGGACGCCAAAATCGGTCGGGTATAGGTGTGTTCGACTGGTTCCACTGTTGGTTCGCGTATGAATATAAGCGCCTTTTTCCAACAGACTGTGGCCACAATAATGTCAATATGTACACAATCCTGACGCTGGTAAACATACATAGCGATATTAATTAATAAATTTGTACAAACACTCCTGCTAATGATGATACTGGAAAGCCCAGAATATATTCAGACTTCACGTAATCCGTGATCTTTCGAGGCCAGTTGGTGATTACCAATGAAAGCTTTGTATCTACCAAAGAGAAATGGACCAAAGCCTGTTGACAGAAACCATGTCAAAATAGGTACAGGTGTATGACTTGTGGCACAGAGTGATGACAATCTGTCGATTGTCTGGTCTAGATTATTTACAGACTGTTCTCATATAGCTTATATATTACTAGTTTGCCCTTTATACAAAACAACATAATAGTGTCTTTATCTGAACATTTACATGTAATCCTTTTTTAAAATAGTACACAAAAACTCATGGCAGGTCTCTGGTTCGTTTGCTGGTTGCTGATAGGTTGTCGGCGAGCTCTACCGTTCCAGACCTAGTCTACAGACGAGGCTCTGTCTGCCACGGTAATGGTATGGGGCTGCATGTAAAGCTGGTTCTCGAAGTGCTGGAACGCATCGGAGTCCCCGTTCAACGTCGCCGTCTTGCTGTGCCGACATCGCCTGATAGTTAACATACAAATAGTGTAGAGTGAAACTTCGGTTGTCAGGACCCTGTCTATTTCGGCAGCTACTATCAGGAACGTTTTAATTCAGACACAGCACACATTCAGATCTTACCGCTACAGCTAAACAAGGCTCGGAGGACATCCAATTACAGGTCACGTGACAAGCATTTCGGAACCGACCAATGAAATGAATATTAAGAAGTCAACATTAGCCAATAACAGAGCCGCTTTCTCGACCTCGACCGCACCCGTTCTATTGGCATCCATTTCAGATTACGCGTCAAATGCTTTGACAAAGTTTACGATTCAACTTTTGAAAATTGAACAAAAGTACATTCTGAAAGTCTAACAGATTGTCGATATTGTATGGCAGCACTTTGGCGGATCCAGAGGGGGTGTTCAGGGCGTTCGAAACCACACGCACGCACACACGCGCGCGCGCGCACACACACACACACACCTTTCGAAAATGACTTAAGAACACATTGAAGATTTTTTTGCGCTGGCGGAGCCAATGGGGGTTCAGGGGCTTCGAACCCCCTGGAACACACACACACACACACGCGCGCGCACACACACACACACACACACACATACACTTTCAAATTTCCTGGATCCGCCCATGCTTCCGACCTTTCGTGACCAACTCGTGATATTCAAGGACAAGCCGAATAGGTTACGGAAAGGGGCAATTGGTGACGAATGTACTTCCCAACGAGTTACTGAAAGTCTCTTCTGTTTGGAATGCTACCCAATTTAAGGGGATACTTAAACGATGAGCCACAAGGTTCGTAAGTGTTGCTCGGATTACCTCGTGTTAACATTTTCGGGTTGCATGCATGAGAGTAAAACATTCCGAATGTCATTTTCCCCGATCTAAAGCAACGCACTCGTTAGTCGGATCTGAAGTGACCCGTTATATTGTATTTCTTCCGATGTTTGTTTAGTGGTTGAGAGAATTAAGATGTAATTTTATTGAGATTTATATTACAATACAGTGATTCTCAAATCTTCACTCAACCACTTGCAGACTTGGTTCAAACAGCAATAAGATTCCTGGCAGCAATTGAACAGTAAAAAAGAAAATTATCGGGATGAAATCTCTTGGAACGGTATCTTCAAGATTTACAGTTGTTCTCACTGTAGCTAAAAGTTGGCGGAATGTGGCACTGAACAAATCACGTGACGTCAATCAATAATAATGGCGGGGAGTAGATGGATGGATAACTGTTTGACGCTTGAGGATACCTTCTTAACCAAACGACTTTGATTCAAGCATGCCTCTGTTTATCAAGCAGTGAATGGGTACCCGGTAGGACCGTAAACATTCTGGCGTCTCATGTGTCAGCCAGGTTTGTATGTATGACGAAAATACTGATAGCCTAGAGTTTTTGTGTCTCACATTTGTAACTAAAAAGTTCTCACCTTCGATATTTAACAAAGACGACAACTGCAGTGATGATCAAACCCACTGCCGTCCCAATAACGATCACAACGATGACTGGCATCCCTAGAACCTGAGGACAAGGGAATTAGAACTGTCATTAACATATTCATATTGCATGACAGCTTAAAATTAAAAATAACAGTGTAAATTTACGTGTTTATATCTTTTAGAGAAATCGTTTACGAAGGAAAGGACGTTACCACAACGTTCAGTGAAAGATTTCTTTCTGAACATATTACATAGTTATTCATGATAAGTGAGTGAGTGAGTATGGGTTTACGCCGCTTTTAGCAATATTCCAGCAATATAACGGCGGGGGACACCAGAAACGGGCTTCATAGAGTGTACCCATGTGGGAATCAAACCCGGGCCTTCAGGCTAAGTTTAACCATTAAGCTACCCCACCGCCCCTATTCATGTTGAAAATATACACTACTGAGTGTATGTTGGTTACACCGCTATCAGCAACATCCCAGCTTTATCGCAGCTGCTTTTACTGAGTTTGGGCCAGGCAAACCACTGACCGAAAACATGAGCAACGAACCCATAGGGCAACGTTGCCACGCAATGAGCCAGGCAACAAAGCCTGACTACCTTATGCGATTGAATCAAAATAAACTGACGTAAAAAAAAGAAAGTACACACCTGGAGTGTTGTGATTTTGACTGGCAACTTCGCAATTCGGCACAATATCTGTGGTGTTTGGGCAGCATATTAGGAAAGTCTTTGACTTATATATCACTGTAAAAACTCTTTTCAAAATATTTACGTCGCTTTTTGGAAAGCACTCCAAAAGCACCAGGTGTGTACTTTCTTTTTTTACGTCAGTTTACAACGTGTGACGCATTTGGGATCTTACTGTTTTAACAGGGTAAGATGGGTAGTCTATTGGTTTAAGCATTCACTTTTAAGGCCGATGGTCATATTTCGAGTCCAAATCTGAGTACAGTGTGATATTGCCATAAGGGCGAGCGGTAAATCCAACTAACTCTCGAACTCTTGAAAGCACATCAGGTATTAATAGGCTGGGATGGGGGTCGGTTGGGCTGAAACGCTCTATTGTTTACTGAATATTAACGTCACACTGAAACGTTGAAGTTGCATGCATCTGACCTGATCGCCGCTTTGAGCTGATGAAGTTGACATCGGAAATCTGGAGCCGAGATACATCTTGTGGGAAAAACCATCAAAGAGGTTTTCAATGGGTATTTTCTGACAAATCGCCTGCATCTGGGACGTGTCTAGTAACTGACCATCAACAGTGATGACCGGCGTGACCTCAGTGACCAGACCTCTGAACAATGCAACATTAGAAGGTGACTGAGAAACTGGGCTAGGTTTCTCATGATAAAACACGTTATAGGGCAGAGGTTTGGGGGATCAGATTAAATATTTCAGTTTTACCATCGTGGAACTAACTCTCTTGTTTTATTCAATGATTCTTTGGTAACTTAGACATGCCATCATCAATTAACCAATATTTTAAACAGATAAATACCCTGGACACATTCTCCACCAAAGCTACATTTCGTAAGATTGTTTGTTTGTTGTTTAACGCCGCACTCAGCAATATTCCAGCAAAATGGAGGCGGTCTGTAAACAGTCTCAACAAGGCAATCTAGTGATCAACGTCATGAGCATCGATCTACGCAATTGGGCTACGATGATATGTGTCAACCAAGTCAGCGAGCCTGACCACCCGATCCCGTTAGTCGCCTCTTACGACAAGTATGGGTTGCAAAAGACTAACCCGGATCTTCAGGGGTACGTTTCGTTAGAGACATCACAACTTTCATCGCTTCTATCGCGGTAACCTAGAGCAGGACGCGTCTCGCTTGTGATAGTATTTTGAATGGACGGTTTTAACCTCGAAGGAAGTTATGGGTGAAGGGCAAGTACCACGTAATACCCTTGAACATTGAGGATGGTAACACATTTGTATTTCTGCACAGATTGTAAACGTATCTACCACGTCAGTTAGTTTAGAATATATAGGCCATCGGTCGCTCAGTTGTTGAAATTTGTTTAAATACATTGACGCACTTTTAAATGAACCTTTAAATATAATGCATTTTCAATTTCATAAATGAACATGTGTAATAAATCAAAATTCTCTTACCCTTTTCCGTCTTTGAAATACACAAACTGACAACTGACGCTGAAATTGCCAGTCAGATCAGCGTAGTTTCTGAGCATATGCGTCAGCTTTTCGTGAAAAAGGTCCTCTTCTTTCGTTCCCAATTTCCCCTCGAGATAAAGTGGGAAACAAGAATCTGAAAATATAATGAGTAAATTTTCGAAGGTCTTCGCAAGACAGATCACCAAACGTTAAGATGGTCGTAACTCCCATACTTTAACATAGACTTACGACAGTCGTAGCGCTAAGATCATCGTAACTCCCATACTTTAACATAGACCTACGACAGTCGTAGCGCTAAGAACATCGTAACTCCCATACTTTAACATATACTTACGACAGTCGTAGCGCTAAGAACATCGTAACTCCCTAACTGTAACATAGACTTACGACAATTATTACAGGTCATCATGATCCAGATGAATGCGACGTAAAACAATATTCACCTACAAAATCTCGTTTCAAAAGCAGGCCTGGCACCAGGGCCGTGTCAAGTTTAGATCACTGCACTGCCTCTGTACACTTTTGGTAATCTGTTTTTACTGTTATGGTCGAGATAAAAAGCAACAAATTGTCAGTCATATCACAACATGTGTCATAATAGTTCGCTCGTCACGCCGAAGACCAGGGTTCGATTCCCCACGTGTGATTCCCATTTTTCTACTCATTCCCTCACTCACTCATGTATTGATTAAAAACAAATACTAAAACAAACACAAGCACCTACTCACAAGCATAAGCTTCGTGTCTACTCACCAGGTGGCGCTGTCGTCTCTTCTGACGTAGAGACACTTCCGGTCCAGACAGTGCTCGTGGCCAAACTCTCAGTCCAGCTACTGGCCAGCGTAGGCCAGATCATAGAGGTGGTCTCCGAGGTAGTGTATACAGTTTGCTTAATCTTGAAGGTAGGCATATTGGCCGTCATACCGATGTCAGTGCTTGGCTCTAACCCCGGGGTGGGTTTGAGACTGCCTCCAAAGTCCATACTCCAATCAACGGCGTTGGTGAAAGCTCTAGATGACGTTACAGTGGAGGCTGTGAAAGACGCTGTAGAGGAGCCTGTGTCGCCGTCTACAAGCCCAGATGTGGAGACACTGAAGGTGGCACTGAAGGAAGATGTCGCTGTTATACCCTGTGTGGAGAATTGAGGGTTTTCGGGCACCGAGGAAACGGGAACAAGAATTTCGCAACGTGCCCCTGCAAAGAAGGAAGGATACAAGTGAGAGAGTGAGTTGTGCCTTACCACCAGATCCCGTAGAATAATAAATATACTTTCAGTCAAGACCATTCTGGTCCAAAACGTCCCCATCTTAACCAATGACTCTTCACCAATTCTACAATATTTGCCTATAGGAATTTAGGATTTATGTCACGCCAAGTGATGCTCTTCCCGTTTGAAATCCTACATCAACGTATGAAGTATGTTAGGCAAGTTATATTTTTATTTTAGGTACGTAACCTGGACGTATTCACTTGTAGCATCATTGATACAGATGCACATATTTTGTTGGTACCCCACGTAATCTACAAGGTGTTAGAGAAAAGGAGAAGCAGCAGATGATGTAAAGATTCATACATGTCGCTGGATAAAATGTACACCGGCTGTAGTGTGAGAGAGGTTACACAAGATGTAGGATAAGAAGCATTCATGTTGTGGTTTAAAAGAAGCCATACTTTTCATACGTTAAGAAGATGTATGCAGGCAGTAGGTCACAGTTGAGAGAAGATATACAGGCAATAGGTTAAGAAGATGCATTCAAGTTGTGGTTTAAAAGAATCCATACCGTTCACAGGTTAAGAAGATGTATACAGGCAGAAGGTTGAAAGACGTTATACAGGTCGTTTGTTAAGAAGATGCATTCAAGTTGTGGTTTAAAAGAATCCATACCATTCACAGGTTAAAAGATGTATACAGACAATAGGTCGAAAGACGTTATAGAAGAAGATGCATTCAAGTTGTGGTTTAAAAGAATCCATACCGTTCACAGGTTAAGAAGGTGTATACAGGCAGAAGGTTGAAAGACGTTATACAGGTCGTATGTTAAGAAGATGCATTCAAGTTGTGGTTTAAAAGGAATCCATACCGTTCACAGGTTAAGAAGGTGTATACAGGCAGAAGGTTGAAAGACGTTATACAGGTTATACAGGTTCAAGTTGTGTTAAGAAATGCATTCAAGTTGTGGTTTAAAAGAATCCATACCGTTCACAGGTTAAGAAGGTGTATACAGGCAGAAGGTTGAAAGACGTTATACAGGTCGTTTGTTAAGAAGATGCATTCAAGTTGTGGTTTAAAAGAATCCATACCGTTCACAGGTTAAGAAGGTGTATACAGGCAGAAGGTTGAAAGACGTTATACAGGTCGTAGGTTAAGAAGATGCATTCAAGTTGTGGTTTAAAGGAATCCATACCGTTCACAGGTTAAGAAGGTGTATACAGGCAGAAGGTTGAAAGACGTTATACAGGTCGTAGGTTAAGAAGAATGCATTCAAGTTGTGGTTTAAAGGAATCCATACCGTTCACAGGTTAAGAAGGTGTATACAGGCAGAAGGTTGAAAGACGTTATACAGGTCGTTTGTTAAGAAGATGCATTCAAGTTGTGGTTTAAAAGAATCCATACCGTTCACAGGTTAAGAAGGTGTATACAGGCAGAAGGTTGAAAGACGTTATACAGGTAATTTGTTAAGAAGATGCATATTCAAGTTGTGGTTTAAAAGAATCCATACCAAGTTCACAGGTTAAGAAGGTGTATACAGGCAGAAGGTTGAAAGACGTTATACAGGTCGTTTGTTAAGAAGATGCATTCAAGTTGTGGTTTAAAAGAATCCATACCGTTCACAGGTTAAGAAGGTGTATACAGGCAGAAGGTTGAAAGACGTTATACAGGTCGTTTGTTAAGAAGATGCATTCAAGTTGTGGTTTAAAAGAATCCATACCGTTCAAGGTTAAGAAGATGAAAGACGTTATCGTCAAGAAGATGCATGTGGTTTAAAGGAATCCATACCGTTCACAGGTTAAGAAGGTGTATACAGGCAGAAGGTTGAAAGACGTTATACAGGTCGTAGGTTAAGAAGATGCATTCAAGTTGTGGTTTAAAAGAATCCATACCGTTCACAGGTTAAGAAGGTGTATACAGGCAGAAGGTTGAAAGACGTTATACAGGTCGTTTGTTAAGAAGATGCATTCAAGTTGTGGTTTAAAAGAATCCATACCGTTCACAGGTTAAGAAGTGTGGCAGAAGGTTGAAAGACGTTAGGTCGTAGGTTAAGAAGATGCATTCAAGTTGTGGTTTAAAAGAAGGTTAAGAAGGTGTTGAAAGACGTTATACAGGTAATTTGTTAAGAAAAATGTTAAGAAGATATTCAAGTTGTGGTTTAAAAGAATCCATACCGTTCACAGGTTAAGAAGGTGTATACAGGCAGAAGGTTGAAATACGTTATACAGGTAATTTGTTAAGAAGATGCATTCAAGTTGTGGTTTAAAAGAATCCATACCGTTCACAGGTTAAGAAGGTGTATACAGGCAGAAGGTTGAAAGACGTTATACAGGTCGTACGGTTAAGAAGATGCATTCAAGTTGTGGTTTAAAGGAATCCATACCGTTCACAGGTTAAGAAGGTGTATACAGGCAGAAGGTTGAAAGACGTTATACAGGTCGTAGGTTAAGAAAATGCATTCAAGTTGTGGTTTAAAAGAATCCATACCGTTCACAGGTTAAGAAGGTGTATACAGGCAGAAGGTTGAAAGACGTTATACAGGTAATTTGTTAAGAAGATGCATTCAAGTTGTGGTTTAAAAGAATCCATACCGTTCACAGGTTAAGAAGGTGTATACAGGCAGAAGGTTGAAAGACGTTATACAGGTCGTAGGTTAAGAAGATGCATTCAAGTTGTGGTTTAAAAGATTCCATACCGTTCACAGGTTAAGATGGTGTATACAGACAATAGGTTGAAAGACGTTATACAGGTCGTAGGTTAAGAAGATGCATTCAAGTTGTGGTTTAAAAGATTCCATACCGTTCACAGGTTAAGATGGTGTATACAGACAATAGGTTGAAAGACGTTATACAGGTCGTTTGTTAAGAAGATGCATTCAAGTTGTGGTTTAAAAGAATCCATACCGTTCACAGGTTAAGAAGGTGTATACAGACAGAAGTTTGAAAGACGTTATACAGGTCGTATGATAAGAAGATGCATTCATGTGGTTTAAAAGAATCCATACCGTTCATAGCTGGGTAAGAAGATACATACAGACAGAAGTTTGATAGAAGTCATACAGGTCGCTGGATTAGAAATATGCATACTGGCAGAGGTAGAGGGACCCACCACCGAATGTCTCTCTGTAATGTTAGGACTGTTAGAGGCAGAATGTTTTGCACGACTCGATTTAAGATACTGTAGACTCAAGGATGAACCATAGCTTCGAGCGTGTTTGTGGGTAACAAACGACACGTTTCTTTTAGATGGATCTATTTCCATTTGCATTGTTCCTCGCGGTAGTGTCAATGAATTTGTTTAAGACAACTGGCTGAAGCTTACCTTTATAAAACTCTCCACACGTGCAGTGAAAGGATCCTTCCTTATCCATACATGTCCCGTTGTTGAGACAAGGACTCGAGGAACATTCATTGATGTCGAACTGGCAAAAGTTTCCCGAGTAGCCCTCCATACATCTACACGTCACGCTATCCACCAAATCAACGCATGTACCGTTGTTCAGACAAGGGGAAGATGCACATTCGTTGATCTGGACTTGGCATGTGGGTCCTGTGAACCCTCGGACACAGCTGCACGTGAACGTTGGTCCGACATCGGTACACGTAGCGCCGTTCCAACATGGCCGACTCACGCACGGGTCCTCTGTTTCGCATAGCTTACCAGCATAACCAGACGGGCAGAGACACGTAAAATCAGTGATATCCGTGCGACACATTCCGCCGTTATGACATGGGTTCCTGTTACATGGGTCGGATCTATTTTCGCAGTATTCGCCTTCGTATCCATCGGGACATTTGCACGAGAACGCATTCAAGCCATCAGAACACGTTCCGCCATTTTCACAAGGAGCAGAGGCACACTCATCTACATTAAGCTCGCAGTTGTTGCCAAGAAATCCTGATGCGCATGTGCAACGATATCCGTTAATGTCGTCCACGCAGGTAGCGTTGTTGGTGCATGGATTACTTAAACACTCGTTGATGTTCACCTCACAATACCGTCCAGTAAAACCCGTCGCGCATGCGCAACGGTAGCTGTTAATGTCGTCCATGCACCTACCGTTGTTGCCGCAGGGATTGATAGCACAGTCATCGATATTCTCCTCACAGAATTTGCCAGTGAATCCTGCTGCGCATGTGCAAATGTAGCCGTTGACGTTGTCCACGCAGGTGGCGTTGTTAGTGCATGGATTACTTAAACACTCGTTGATGTTCACCTCACATGACCGTCCGGTAAAACCTGTCACGCATGCGCAACGATAGCTATTAACGTCGTCCATGCAGGTGCCGTTGTTGACGCACGGGTTGATAGCACAGTCATCGATATTCTCCTCACAGAGTTTCCCAGAGAATCCTGCAGCGCATGTGCAAATGTAGCCGTTGACGTTGTCCACGCAGGTAGCGTTGTTGGCGCATGGATTACTTAAACACTCGTTGATATTCAACTCACAAAACCGTCCAGTATATCCTGATGCGCATGCGCAACGATAGTCGTTCACGTCGTCCACGCAGGTAGAGTTGTTGATGCAAGAATTGCTCAAACAGTCGTCAATGTTGACCTCGCACAAGCGCCCTGTGAAGCCATTCAGACACAAACACTCGTAGGCTCCCGGATAGTCTACACATGTTCCTCGATGATGACACGGGTGGCTCGTGCACTCGTCCCTGTCCACAGCACACCGTGGCCCCTCCCACCCGACCGGACAGTTACACGTGTAACCCCTGCCGGTGTCCTCACAGAGTCCACCGTTGCTGCAAGGGTTGGACAGACATGGGTTGATTCTTGTCTCACATCGTTCACCTAGAGAACAGGGATATACCGCGCGCTATAGTGAGGAGGGTGACAGGGTTCAAATGTGGCATGTCCTTGTGAACGGTATGAATGTCAAAACTTCAATCTGATTAGGGAACGGAAACACGAGGTCATGGTAAGCACTACAAATTTGAAATTGCTCAACACTCTGATGTCTATCAACGCAATGAACTTCAGAAAATAATTAAGGTGGATACCTTTAAATATTTTAATTGATTTATGTTGATGGATGCGCCCGGAACAAACTATACTGCTGCGAGGAAATATAATATTATCAACACAGTAAACAAAATGAATTAGCTGACTTTAAAACACAACGAATTTGTTGGTCTATATGTAGAAATCAAACAAACAATCTCAAATTAACTGAAAAACGTAGTGAGTGAGTGAATGAGTTTAGTTTTACGCCGCACTCAGCAATATTCCAGCTATATGGCTGCGGCCTGTAAATAATCGAGTCTGGACCAGACAATCCAGTGATCAACAGCATGGGCATCGATCTACGCAATTGGGAACCGATGACATGTGTCAACCAAGTCAACAGCGGCGTTAAACAACAAACAAATACTTGTTGCAATCACTTTCAAATTCCAACTGACTGCCCTCGTCACTACTAGCCCCTTTCCATAACCTGCAAGAAAACTCCTCCCCTTAAAATATCATGAAAGTCATATGACCAATCCGAATGCGCGCATGACTTCAAGTTCTTCGGTCAAACAATCCTTCAGAAATAATGTTTTGATGCAAACATTTGTACCTGAAAATATACTTAATGTACCATATTACACTAAAAGACATTATTATATTCAACCATACTGTATTATCTGCAACATAAACAATATATGCAGATATATAGTATACGTTGAAAATAGTCCCAAGTGCTGAGAATTCCCCTTTGTGTGGGCCCAACCTGTCGCAGAAAAATGTCCACGAGAGGGGAACGAGTCGCTAATTTGTTTATTCCGGAACACCAGTTCTTCATGCTGCCTCGTTACTTACTTCGTTGGTACTGTCTTGATCTACCTCTCCTAAAAATCAGGGCCGGTCGGGTAGCCCAGTGGTTAAACCGTTCGCTCGTCACGTCGAACTCCCGAGTTCGGTTCCCAACATGGGTACAATGTGTGAGGCCCATTTCTGGTGTCCCCCTGCCAGGATATTGCTGGAATATTGCTAAAAGCGTTGTAAAACTTAACTTATTCACTCACTCACTTAAAAATCAGCCTGAGTGAAAGAGTGAGTGAGTATGGTTTTACGGGTTTTCTTAGCAATATTCCACAGCGGGGGACGCCAGAAATGGGTTTCACACATTGTACCCATGTGTACCCGGGTCTTTGGCGTGACAAACGGACGCTTCATTCATTAGGCTACCCCACCGCCCCTTTAAGTGAAAGACCGGTTTATGTTCCAACACGAAAATGACCACAGTGAAGAGTCGAATCCTTTAGACGTGCTAGTACAGCCGAGGATCGGGAGTTCGATTCCCACATCCACCATGATTATCTATCTACTTTTACTGGTACTTATTCAAAACCTACTTCATACCGGGTGTTCGAAATACTGTCTAAAGCGGTGTTGAACTACATTCATTTACTCACTCACTCATTAAACAGAAGGTACTGAAGATGATGATGATTTGGAGATTTTACGTGCGCTTTCCGCCATAATGCGTATTACGCACACAGGATGTACTGAATAATTTCATTATACTACTTACCCGTGAACCCATATGCGCACGCACATACATATCCTCGGTGTTTGTCAATACACGTGGCTCCGTTTTGACACGGGCTGCTGACACAGTCATCCACGTTCATCTCACAGTTCATGCCGTGCCAGCCTGAAGGGGAAAATATCATCATACACATATGTAACTGTTAACGTATTGTCCAGATATGTCTATCATGTTGATAATTGATACAATGCTAACACTATTACGTTTTATATCATGTCCGCCATTAAGCCTAGTAGGTAATGTGTTAAATCGTTATGCCTAAAGCCTGAGGTCGATTCGCCACTTGGCGCTCAGCAACATACCGGTCTAATACACACATACACTAACTAATGCGCATCGCTATGTACCTGCACCTCACCTCACCTCACCTCACCTCACCTCACCTCAACCTCAACCCAACCCAACCTCACCAAACTCACTTCACCTCACCTCACCTCACAGTACTTCACCCCACACCTCCTCAACCCGACCAAACCAACTTCACCTCACCTCACCTCACCCACCCTACCTCACTTCACCTCAGTTCACCTTAAACAAACCCACCTCACCCAACCTCTCCTCACCTCACTCCACTCCAACCCAACCAAACTCACCTCACATCACCTCACCTCACCTCACCTCACCTCACCTCACCTCACTCCACTCCAACCCAACCAAACTCACCTCACCTCACCTCACCTCGCCCAACCTCTCCTCACCTCACTCCACTCCAACCAAACCAAACTCACCTCACCTCGGCCCGACCCGACCCAACCCACCTAACCTCAACTCACCTCACCTCACCGCACTTCACCCAAACTCACCTCAACCAGACCCGACCCAACCCACCTCACCTCACCTCACCTCACCTCTCCACACCTCACTCTACTCCAACCCAACCAAACTCACCTCACATCACCCCAACTCACCTCAAATCACCTCACCTCACCTCACCGCACTTCGACCCACCTCACCTCAACCCGACCCAACCAAACCCAACCCACCTAACCTCACCACACCTCGCCGCACTTCACCCCATCCCACCTCACCGCACCGCACCGCACCACACCGCACCTCAACGCACCTCACTTCAACGCACCTCACTACAAACGTATTCTACTAAAACAGAGTTAACGGCGGTACCTGGTGTGCAGATCTTGGCTCCTGTATACGGGTGGCAGGTGTACCGCCCCTTAGTACTCGCTGAGCAGAACACTGCACACTGTTTGCCGTAGTAGTTGGGATCACAGTAAGATCGGAGCTCAACAAGCAGACTGAAACAGAGGTCAAGCCAATATGGGGTTCAATAATCCTTTGTTGCAGCAAATGAACAATGAACGTAGAGAAAATTCATATTACAGGTAGTCAATCGCATAGTCCCGAGATTTGTCGTCAGAGAACCGTCCATAAAATTATAGGACAATGGATGATTTCATATCTTCAGCCTCATATCTCCTGAACGACCAACCGGCATCGAGAATCGCAAAAATGCAAATACCGGTAAGATGTCATTTAACACGTGCTTTCTACCCTCGTCGGTAACACAGAAAACCCAACAATACTTTCGCGCCTCGACCCATGAGTCAGAAGGGCATGCCCTGTTTTCATTAATAGGACGCTGTCGCTATGCCGGTGCCAAAATTCCTTCAGAACATATCGGGTGTCCCCAAAACAGTGAACCGGTTTTTGACAAGTATTTTCTCAGCGAATTCTTTTTAAAAAATTAACAGAGTAACCCTAGGGTATGATCAACAAGTCTACAAAATACCTAAGAGATTGGTCGCAAATTATGCGAGTATTGTCAAATTCAAAACAGCATGTCAAAAAATGCAATGCCATATGTGACTCTCTAAAGGAGAAAGTTTACCGAGGAGTGAGAGACAAATTGACCGAGCAGGCGTTAAAGGACTGGATAATTATGTCACTGGAGGAGATATCGGTGGAAGAAATACATAAAAGCATTTCTGCTTGGAAGAAACGGCTTCGTTTAGTTGTGGAGGAAGATGGAGGCCACATTGAGCTTAGACTGAAATAAGTGAGTTTTCCCATATGGCATTGCATTTTTCACATGCTGTTTTGAATTTGACAATACTCGCATAACTTGCGACCAATCTCTTAGGTATTTTGTAGACTTGTTGATCATACCCTAGGGTTACTCTGTGATTTTTTTTGATAAATTCGGTTTATCTTTCGCTGAGAAAATATTTGTCAAAAACCGGTTCACTTTTTTGGGGACACCCGATATATACAGTTTCAGGTTGGTGCCATCGTGGATTTACTGGCATTATTCCACAAACACGTGCTTTGGAGATGCATTAAACAATCATTGTTTGAGGTTTCTCTACAAACGCAGCATACATAACGGAAAACACGAGCACGAATCATGGCATTCACAACAGTCATGCAGAAACTGCGTGTTTCTAAGAATCGTCAGCTTAGCATTTCTGCTGGTCGAAGCAAGAGCCATATTATTATCTCTAATGACGATTATGGGTGGCCTTCATAGATTTTCACTGCCCCGCGTTAAACCAAACTCAGTGAATGAGTGAGTATGGCTGAAAGCCGAAAAGCGCAATATTGCAGCAATATCACGGCGGGAGACACCAGAAATGGGTTTCACACGTTGCACCAAGGTGGGATTCGAATCCGGGTCTTCGGTGTGACGAGCGTACGTTTACACCACAAAGCTATCCCGACGCCCCGCCCCGTAAAAAGTTCGCTTCATAACGTTCATTGTGATTTGGCTACATCCTGGTTCTTTCTATTGGTTCCAGTTAAAAGTTAGACATTTTAACCTTGAATGACTTGCGAGACAAAAGACAAAGACATCATACAATCATTCCCCGATTCACTAGAAACGATATCATCGATATCAACAGGGTTACCGTGCAGTTATTTAGTATGAATCGTGCCCACCACTGTACAGAATGTTGTCTATGAAATGTATGAAAATATGAATATGAAATATACATACGAGCTTCTCCTCCGGATCAGCAATCGAACCGGCAAGGAACCAGCCTCGGTATGACTTGGGGTCAAGGTCGTGTCTTTAGCCAGTAAGTCAACGAAGTCGTGTGCGTTGCTGCTATCCACGTCCCATATTCCAACCTTGATTCGTAGCTTGGGCTGATAGAAACAGAGAGTTTTGCTTTTAAAAATCATTTAGGGACTGAATGCAAAACTCACCAAAAAAAACCTCGCATAACCAAGATTTTGTCGAAGTAAGTAACACGGAGGTACAGTACATCTGAACATCTTAGTGATGACACATCTTTAACAGGACAATAGTGGACACATCTGAACACCTGAGTGATGACACATCTATAACAGGACAATAGTGGACACATCTGAACACCTGAGTGATGACGTATCTATAACAGGACAATAGTGGACACATCTGAACACCTGATGATGACGCAACTATAACAGGACAATAGTGGACACATCTGAACACCTGAGTGATGACACATCTATAACAGGACAATAGTGGACACATCTGAACACCTGAGTGATGACACATCTACAACAGGCCAATAGTGGACACATCTGAAAACCTGGGTGATGACACATGTTCAACAGGACAATAGTGGACACATCTGAACACCTGAGTGATGACACATGTTTAACAGGACAATAGTGGACACATCTGAACACCTAAGTGATGACACATGTTTAACAGGACAATAGTGGACACATCTGAACACCTGAGTGATGACACATGTTTAACAGGACAATAGTGGACACATCTGAACACTTGAGTGATGACACATCTACAACAGGACAGTAGTGGACACGTCTGAACACCTGAGTCATGACACATCTACAACAGGACAATAGTGGACACGTCTGAACAACTCAGTCATGACACATCTACATCAGGACAATAGTGGACACGTCTGAACGTCCTAGTGATGACACATCTATAACAGGACAATAGTGGACACATCTGAACACTTGAGTGATGACACATCTACAACAGGACAATAGTGGACACGTCTGAACGTCTTAGTGATGACACATCTACAACAGGACAATAGTGGACACATCTGAACGTCTTAGTGATGACACATCTACAACAGGACAATAGTGGACACATCTGAACACCTGAGTGATGACGCATCTATAACAGGACAACAGTGGACACATCTGAACACCTGAGTGATGACACATCTATAACAGGCCAATAGTGGACACATCTGAACACCTGAGTGATGACGCATCTATAACAGGACAATAGTGGACACACCTGAACACCTGAGTCATGACACATCTATTACAGGACAATAGTGGACACATCTAAACACCTGAGTCATGACACATCTATAACAGAACAATAGTGGACTCGTCTGAACACCTGAGTCATGACACATCTATAACAGGACAATAGTTTACACATCTGAACACCTGAGTCATGACGCAACTATAACAGGACAATAGTGGACACATCTGAACATCTGAGTCATGACACATCTATAACAGGACAATAGTGGACACATCTGAACACCTGAGTCATGACACATCTATAACAGGACAATAGTGGACACATCTGAACACCTGAGTCATGACACATCTATAACAGGACAATAGTGGACACATCTTAACTGAGTCATGACACATCTATAACAGGACAATAGTGGACACATCTGAACACCTGAGTCATGACATATCTATAACAGGACAATAGTGGACACATCTGAACACCTGAGTCATGACGCAACTATAACAGGACAATAGTGGACACATCTGAACACCTGAGTCATGACACATCTATAACAGGACAATAGTGGACACATCTGAACACCTGAGTCATGACACATCTATAACAGGACAATAGTGGACACATCTGAACACCTGAGTCATGACATATCTATAACAGGACAATAGTGGACACATCTGAACACCTGAGTCATGACGCAACTATAACAGGACAATAGTGGACACATCTGAACACCTGAGTCATGACACATCTATAACAGGACAATAGTGGACACATCTGAACACCTGAGTCATGACACATCTATAACAGGACAATAGTGGACACATCTTAACATCTGAGTCATGACGCAACTATAACAGGATAATAGGGGACACATCTGAACACCTGAGTCATGACACATCTATAACAGGACAATAGTGGACACATCTGAACACCTGAGTCATGACACATCTATAACAGGACAATAGTGGACACATCTGAACACCTGAGTCATGACACATCTATAACAGGACAATAGTGGACACATCTTAACATCTGAGTCATGACGCAACTATAACAGGACAATAGTGGACACATCTGAACACCTGAGTCATGACACATCTATAACAGGACAATAGTGGACACATCTGAACACCTAATCATGAGTTATTACCTACAAACTGGCCAATAAGAGACATATCTGAACACCCGAGTAAATGTCGAGGTCAAGGTCATAATAACCCAATACCTCGTGAGTCCACTAGAAACGTCAAGTACTGTCTGACGTATCCAGCTCACAGACGAAATGAGAGAACATGTCACACTTTGAGGAATGTTGATTCACTCGGCCTGAAGTACTTGTGCAAACTGTAGCAACGTCTGGGTACAGGATGATGCTGTCCTCGGAGACAATCTATTCTGACCACACGTGTTTTTTTCGCGCTCAAACCTGGCGACTCATAGGGCCTCGAGAGGACCATGCTGTACCGAACGGATGCGGTGTATGGCGTGTTCAAAGTTGAAAGCAAGGCTCATAACTGGAAGAGCGTCATCACAAAACAAACGGAAACATGAGTCTCATTAACCTATTCAGACAATGACCTATTTTTCAGCTGATCCGAATTTTCTCTTGTGAAAGTGAAAAGAAACACCACAAACAACTATGGTTACACTGAATTCCAATGTCTTGTTTCATAAAAAAATAGTTATTTACAAATGAATTTGATTTTAAAATTTAATAACATCGTATTTCTATATTTTATGGCGAGGTATAGGCAGCATGACCTTAACTATGACGTCTGAGACTGTCCCTTTTTGATGAGGTCCTAAAATGATTCACAATTCTTCTGGCTCACTGGTTACACCTGTGATGTGTTCTTTAATGATTATTCGGTGTAGTTAAGTAACGCACAATGCGATTGATATAATATCAAGTCCGTACCAGATCGCAAAACTTTTCTAGCGGCAGAGCCTCGTTTTGAAATTTCCACGATTTCCAGATTTCCGTTTGTCAGTACGCAGTACGACAGAGCACGCTGTACGACGTGTATGCAAGGATTAGAAGGAGCTTAGTGTTGCAATATACAAATCCTTAGATGTATCAAATAATACTGATTAATGTTTATGTGTCCAGTTGAATGAAGTGGTCTCAATATTCTGGACTGGTTATTGTACTAAGTTGCGCTATAGGACGGAACCCAGTCAGCAGTAAACGAGACTTATATAATAAATGTTTTGCCTTGCACAAGACTGTACACAAACCTTTCACTTGAACCAGGTTTGCTCTACCAGTGTGAGAGATCATCGCCCACATTATTTTCCCTCCACCGCCTCTGCCATCCTCCCGTAAAGTGAGTGACTGACTTGAGTTTTACGCCGCTTTGAGCAATATTCGATCAATATCACGGTGGGGGACACCAGAAACGGGCTTCACACACAGTACCCAGGTGGGAATCGAACCCGGGTATTCGGCGTGACAAGCGAATGCTTTAACCACTAGGCTACCCCACCGCCGCCCTCCCGTAAAGAGTTCGCTTCATTACGTTCATTGTGACTTGGCTACATCCTGGCTCTTCCTATTATTTCGAGTTAAAAGATGGACATTTTAACCTTGCATGACTTGCGAGACAAAAGACAAAAACATCATAAAATCATTTTTCTTCCTTGTGTTTCTTACCGGAAATGACGTAATGCGAAACACAATGGGGTTCCGGACACCCCCGATATCTGTCCGGAATGTGATCCGATCCTGATCTCTGACCTCGCCGGTCACCGCCCGCCCATATTGGCATTGTGAAAGATCCATGGACCTACAAGAACAGTTAATGCAATTATACAACAGGGGAGTGACATGGAGGTTAAAGGAAAAAAAGAATACAATATTTAGTTCTTGAATGGATACTCCATGAAGAATGGAGGTAGAGGGAAGGCAGAGGGAAGGTAGAGAGAGGGCAGGGGAAGGTAGAGAGAGGCAGAGGGAAGGTAGAGAGGAAGGCAGGGGAAGGTAGAGAGAAGGCAGAGGGAAGGTAGAGAGAAGGCAGGGGAAGGTAGAGAGAAGGTAGAGGGAGAAGGTAGAGAAGGCGTACAGAGTGGAGGCGGAGGGAAGGTAGAAGGAAGGCGGGGGAAGGGTGAGAGAGAGGGCAGAGGGAGGGTGGTGGGAGAGGCAGAGGGAAGGTGAGAGGAGACGGAGGTGGAGAGAGGGAGAGGCAGAGAGGTGGGCAGAGGAAGGCAGGGGAAGGTGGGGGAGAGGTGGAAGAAGGGCGGATGGAAGGTAGAGAGAAAGGGCAGGGGAAGGTATAGAGAAGGTAGAGGGAAGGTAGAGAGGCAGAGGGAAGGTGAAGATAGAAGGCAGAGGAACGCCAATGAATGCGAGGAAGGCACAACGGTCGGCAAGAAGGCAGAAGCAATGCTGAACGGACGCCGATTATTTGCATGTGAAAGGTACAGAGAGAGGCAGAGGGAGGCAGAGAGGACGCTAATACGCTCAAAGAACCCCACACTGAAATGTCAAAAATTGGCAGCTTAGGTCGTACAAAGAAAAGGCACAAAGGGACGCGCCCGAGCAGTTTACAGGACAACAGTGGACACATCTGAACGTCTTAGTGATGACACACCTACAATAACAGGCCAATAGTGGACACATCTGAACACCTGAGTGATGATGCACCTATAACAGGGACAATGAAGTGGACACATCTTGAACACCTGAGTGATGACACATCTTTCCAACAGGACAATAGTGGACACATCTGAACACCTGAGTCATGACACATCTATAACAGGACAATAGGGATGGACGCCGTCTGAACACCTGAGTCATGACACATCTTTAACAGGACAATAGTGGACACATCTGAACACCTGAGCTGATGACACATCTATAACAGGACAATAGTGGGACACATCCGAACACTCTTGTTTGATGACACATCTATAATAGGACAATAGTGGACACATCTGAACACCTGAGTTTCCGACGCATCTATAACAGGACAATAGTGGGATACATCTGAACACCCGGTCAGTCATGGACAACAGTGAACCATCTGAACAACAGGACAACTATAGTGGACACATCTGAACACATCTGACACTTGAGTGATGACACATCTACAACAGGACAATAGTGGACACATCTGAACATCTGAGTGATGACACATCTATAACAGGACAATAGTGGACACATCTGAACACCTGAGTGATGACACATCTACAACAGGGACAATAGTGGACACATCTGAACACCTGTCTGAGTGATGACATTATCTATAACAGGACAATAGTGGACACATCTGAACACCTGAGTGATGACACATCTATAACAGGACAATAGTGGACACATCTGAACACCTGAGTGATGACACATCTATAACAGGACAATAGTGGACACATCTGAACACCTGAGTGATGACACATCTATAACAGGACAATAGTGGACACATCTGACACACCTGAGTGATGACACATCTATAACAGGACAATAGTGGACACATCTGAACACCTGAGTCATGACACATCTATAACAGGACAATAGTGGACACATCTGAACACCTGAGTGATGACACATCTATAACAGGACAATAGTGGACACATCTGAACACCTGAGTCATGACACATCTATAACAGGACAATAGTGGACACATCTGAACACCTGAGTCATGACACATCTATAACAGGACAATAGTGGACACATCTGAACACCTGAGTCATGACACATGTTTAACAGGACAATAGTGGACACATCTGAACACCTGAGTCATGACACATCTATAACAGGACAATAGTGGACACGTCTGAACACCTGAGTCATGACACATCTATAACAGGACAATAGTGGACACATCTGAACATCTGAGTCATGACGCAACTATAACAGGACAATAGTGGACACATCTGAACACCTGAGTCATGACACATCTATAACAGGACAATAGTGGACACATCTGAACACCTAATCATGAGTTATTACCTACAAACTGGCCAATAAGAGACATATCTGAACACCCGAGTAAATGTCGAGGTCAAGGTCATAATAACCCAATACCTCGTGAGTCCACTAGAAACGTCAAGTACTGTCTGACGTATCCAGCTCACAGACGAAATGAGAGAACATGTCACACTTTGAGGAATGTTGATTCACTCGGCCTGAAGTACTTGTGCAAACTGTAGCAACGTCTGGGTACAGGATGATGCTGTCCTCGGAGACAATCTATTCTGACCACACGTGTTTTTTTCGCGCTCAAACCTGGCGACTCATAGGGCCTCGAGAGGACCATGCTGTCCCCGAACGGATGCGGTGTATGGCGTGTTCAAAGTTGAAAGCAAGGCTCATAACTGGAAGAGCGTCATCACAAAACAAACGGAAACATGAGTCTCATTAACCTATTCAGACAATGACCTATTTTTCAGCTGATCCGAATTTTCTCGTGTGAAAGTGAAAAGAAACACCACAAACAACTACGGTTACACTGAATTCCAATGTCTTGTTTCATAAAAAAATAGTTATTTACAAATGAATTTGATTTTAAAATTTAATAACATCGTATTTCTATATTTTATGGCGAGGTATAGGCAGCATGACCTTAACTATGACGTCTGAGACTGTCCCTGTTTGATGAGGTCCTAAAATGATTCACAATTCTTCTGGCTCACTGGTTACACCTGTGATGTGTTCTTTGTGATTATTCGGTGTAGTTAAGTAACGCACAATGCGATTGATATAATATCAAGTCCGTACCAGATCGCAAAACTTTTCTAGCGGCAGAGCCTCGTTTTGAAATTTCCACGATTTCCAGATTTCCGTTTGTCAGTACGCAGTACGACAGAGCACGCTGTACGACGTGTATGCAAGGATTAGAAGGAGCTTAGTGTTGCAATATACAAATCCTTAGATGTATCAAATAATACTGATTAATGTTTATGTGTCCAGTTGAATGAAGTGGTCTCAATATTCTGGACTGGTTATTGTACTAAGTTGCGCTATAGGACGGAACCCAGTCAGCAGTAAACGAGACTAAATGTTTTGCCTTGCACAAGACTGTACACAAACCTTTCACTTGAACCAGGTTTGCTCTACCAGTGTGAGAGATCATCGCCCACATTATTTTCCCTCCACCGCCTCTGCCATCCTCCCGTAAAGTGAGTGACTGACTTGAGTTTTACGCCGCTTTGAGCAATATTCTATCAATATCACGGTGGGGGACACCAGAAACGGGCTTCACACACAGTACCCAGGTGGGAATCGATCCCCGGGTCTTCGGCGTGACAAGCGAATGCTTTAACCACTAGGCTACCCCACCGCCGCCCTCCCATAAAGAGTTCGCTTCATTACGTTCATTGTGACTTGGCTACATCCTGGCTCTTCCTATTATTTCGAGTTAAAAGATGGACATTTTAACCTTGCATGACTTGCGAGACAAAAGACAAAAACATCATAAAAATCATTTTTTCTTCCTTGTGTTTCTTACCGGAAATGACGTAATGCGAAACACAATGGGGTTCCGACACCCCGATATCTGTCCGGAATGTGATCCGATCCTGATCTCTGACCTCGCCGGTCACCGCCCGCCCATATTGGCATTGTGAAAGATCCATGGACCTACAAGAACAGTTAATGCAATTATACAACAGGGGAGTGACATGGAGGTTAAAGGAAAAAAAGAATACAATATTTAGTTCTTGAATGGATACTCCATGAAGAATGGAGGTAGAGGGAAGGCAGAGGGAAGGTAGAGGGAAGGCAGGGGGAAGGTAGAGAGAAGGCAGAGGGAAGGTAGAGAGGAGGCAGGGGGAAGGTAGAGAGAAGGCAGAGGGAAGGTAGAGAGAAGGCAGGGGAAGGTAGAGAGAAGGTAGAGGGAAGGTAGAGAGAAGGTAGAGTGAAGGCAGAGGGAAGGTAGAAGGAAGGCGGGGGAAGGTAGAGAGAAGGCAGAGGGAAGGTAGAGGGAAGGCAGAGGGAAGGTAGAGAGAAGGTAGAGAGAAGGCAGAGGGAAGGTAGAGAGAAGGCAGAGGGAAGGCAGAGGGAAGGTAGAGGGAAGGTAGAGAGAAGGCAGATGGAAGGTAGAGAAAGGGTAGAGGGAAGGTATAGAGAAGGTAGAGGGAAGGTAGAGAGAAGGCAGAGGGAAGGTAGATAGAAGGCAGAGGGAACGCCAATGAATGCACGAGGAAGGCACACAGACGGTCGGCAAGAAGGCAGAAGCAATGCTGAACGGACGCCGTTATTTGCATGTGAAGGTACAGAGAAGGCAGAGGGGAGGCAGAGAGGACGCCTAATACGCTCAAAGAACCCCACTGAAATGTCAAAAATTGGCAGCTTAGGTCGTACAAGAAAGGCACAAGGGACGCCCGAGCAGTTACACTGAAAAATAGGTTTGGCGACCGTCGTGCGTCCTGGTACTTTTTAGAACGCAGAGAGAAGGCAGAGCGGTCGACGTCCTGTGCAAAGGGGGCCTTAGGGCGTTTAAATCTAAAATAATCAAATGCTTATTGATTACCACCTATTCCAGTTAAACTACAGTTATGTATAATATTGCACGATAGGAAGCATCACGTGTCAGCAATTTCTACCTTGACAATTCTGATGACCCACACTTACCCGTATACAGAGTTCAGACATATGGTGAACTGGTGATCACACGCGGAATGCTTCAAGAAGCTGAACCCGTCGCAGTAGTTGCCGTTACTCCCCCTGCCCCCGGGGTTGTTGAAGGACAGGAGTCGGAGGGACAATCTCCCCGATCCACATACCATCTGGCGGAGAAAGAATAATTCAAAATTTGCCAAAGAATCTGTTTTGCATCATGTATTTTGATAGATCTTGAAACATGATCTCCTAGCAGACAAGAACAATACACAGACTTGTTCTATTGCAGTAGAAAAACAATTGTCCTGTATAAGATCCAACTCTCTGAAATACATTTTAGTCCTCGATATCGCTACACAAAGATCTGTGGACATATTTCACTCCACTCATCATACGTCACATTTCCAGATAAAGAAAAATACCTGATCCATTTTTGTTAAAACGTTTTATGAAGGCGTTAATCAGGAAATGACGTCATCACTTGGTTCTTTGTCTCATTTATGAATACTTTGATTGGTCGCTTGTCCAAAGTCTGACAATGGTTTCCACTGTTGTATATTTTAAAGGAGTTATAAGATCGGGTCTGTTCGCAGGCCAGTTTCCAATTAAATTTGGTTCAATGGTGTCAAAACCTACTTCGGCTGCGAGCCCATCACGATCAGGGTTAGAATTGGTCTTCAACAACCCATGCTTATAATAGGCGACTAACGGGATCGGGTGGTCAGGCTCGCTGACTTGGTTGACACATATCGTCATATCTTAATTGCGCATATCGATGCTCATGATGTTGATCACTGGATTGTCTGGTTATTTACAGATGGCCTCCATATAGCTGGAATATTACGGTGTTATACAGAATCAGGATCTGGATAAATCTAAGAGTCGAATACTATGGTAGCATCACTTTTTGCAGTGCACTTTATAAACATATCTGTAACTAAAACTGACGCACAAAAGAAAGTACATACAGTCGAACCCCAATGTCTCGAACTCTGTTGAGACGAATTCTCGGTTCGTGCCGATTTCATTATTTTTATCATTATTTTTACCCTGGTGTCTCGAACTAGATGTGTCGAATTCTTGGTTGTTTCGAACTCATTTTAGGATCCCCAAAAGCCCAAATTGGTATAACAATGGCGCATGCTGTTGTAGCCTGTAGCCTGTCATGAATAAAATGCGTTCCTATTTCGTTTGGGTGAATTGACTGATAAATGTAATAGTGCTGTCAACCAAATGGGATCGTTTGTACGTTTGTCAAGTTACACGTATTCTTATCTTTTTGTATGCATATTTTGTCATTAATTTACATTTTATATATTTTGATTTAATGATCAGTACTGCCGTAAACTTTTAATGCAAAGATGTATTGTTCGTATGTATGGCCTACTTTAGAAAACCAATGTTGTAAGTACTTTAGTCGTGTTGGTACTTTCTGTGCTGACGGATGTGTCGAACACTCGGATAAGTCGAACTTATCCCTTGGTCCCGACGAGTTCGACACAACGGGGTTTGGCTGTACCTCTTTGGTGGATTATTTTCCAAAACAAACCATCTATTCAAATATCTTGAAATGTTTGTGAATGTAATTTACAAGTCACAGGTATTGTGTGTTCAGGTACTGATCAGAACGTCGCCTCGTGGGCCTTTTACTGTAACAGGACAATCAGTATTGTCATTATGTCTTCAGAACATGTGACTACCATTATGATAAGTTATAATCTTGTTTCTCTCAAATAAATTTAATTTAGCCGACCGAAAGAGGACCGGGCTATGCCCTACCTCATCAACACCTACTGTGAACATTTGGATTCCGCGAGAATACCCTTTCAGGCAAAGCTTTGCAATATGAGTAGCTACATCCTAAGTACCACTGACTATTTTTAGCATTTCACTGAAACACCATATCTCTACACCAGCGGTGTTTCGCTGAAACACCATATCTCTACACCAGCGGTGTTTCGCTGAAACACCATATCTCTACACCAGCGGTGTTTCGAATTTCGAATTCGGAGAAGCCAATCATGAAAAGATCACATTCGTTACAAAGACATCCTATGTTTACTAAAATTGCCAATAATCTTTGTTAAACGTCTACAATATCCCCTCAGACGCGACAAGCACACTGCCTAAGACATATGTCACACTCAACTTTAGTTCCTTGAAGGAAACTCATTCTTGAAGATCCCGGATAGAATAAGCCTTCGGAAACCAATACACGTCTTAAGAGGCGTCTAACGGGATTGGCCAATCAGGTCCGGTGACCTGGTTCACACGTCACAATCATCTGATTGTCTGGCCCGGTTTCGAATAATTACAGATCGTTGAATATTGCTTAATTACGGTGTCAAAGAACAAAGAATAGAATCCATAAATTAATACATTTTACACAAAGATCTCAAGGTCATCTTTTCTAAAACATTATAGTGGTTTTAATCTGTTAAGGATGTTGAAAAGTATATTCTTGAAATGTTTCCCGAAAAGGACCTGCTTTTGAGGGTATATTTTAAGTTTCCCTGTGCATCTCATAAATTGAAAGTTCAGCTAGATAGATTTAATTGTTATGATAACCCTAATGCATTGTTATGTACTAAAAGTATCCTGGGCTGTATTGAAGGCGAATTTCACTTAAAGTTTTATTTATTTGCCCTTACTATTAAGTCAAGCAGACAACAATTTGTACCTGAATATTTTATAAGAATCCGTCTGCTTCAAACATGTATCAACTGCTAGCATCCACTGACACAAAACTTATTAAATCTTTGTCGTTGTATTTGAAAAGAAACTTGCCAATTTGATATCGTTGTGAAGGATATACCGACATGTGCAAATGTGTGCAGTACTTATAAGTCATTTTGAAAAAGACATAGCTGAAATAAGTCTATATGCCATGAAGCAATGTCGTCAACACGAAGGGAATGCTTGCCTGATCGCTTGTACGCTAACGAGTGTAAATGTCAACTGATGTCCTCTTCGGTGCCGAAATACATTTATCAGGATAAAAAGTCATTATTTTATCTCTTGAAATCAGTTCAGACGATAACATTAAGTAAATTTTATGCCACCTGTCATCATTGGGCTCCTGATTCACAATAATGCGTGCAACATGGCAATGAAATTTCATTCTTAACTGGTAAAGTTCAACACATTTCACAAGTGTAATTAGAAAGTATCAACCAGGGCTCCCCAGTCAATAACTGTCAACTCTTCGGGGACAGTTCGATAACCGCAAGTGACTTTCCTCCGTGTTTGTTTGGTTGTTGTTTTACGCCGCACTCAGCAATATTCCAGCTATATGACGGCGGCATGTAAATTATCGTGTCTGGACCAGACAATCCAGTGATCAACATCATGAACATCGATCTACGCAAATGGGATGCGATGACATATGTCAATCAAGTCAGCGAGCCTGACCACCCGATCCCATTAGTAAACTCAAGATTACGACAAGCATGGGTTGCTGAAGATCAATTTTACCCCGGATCTTCACGGGGTTTTCCTACATGACTCCATAAGGGATCCTTCACAAGGACTCTAAGAAATATTTTAAAATAAATGAAAAACATTTTTTGTAACAAAATTAAAAAGACCATTGCTGACTTAGCCTCACCTCATCTCACTATATCGTTTAAAGACAAAATGCCTCTTGACACTAGTGTTTGTAGGGCTGTAACGATGAATTGCAATAGTTGAGCCTCAGATAGCAATTAATCGATGGTAGAAACCAAAAACTATCGATGTATCGATAGTATGTGTGACTATCGATAGTTTATTAACTGACTTCCAATGATATATCTGCAGCACAAAATACAGGATGTTTGGGTGCAGATTGGCAGCTTCATTGAGTTTATGTTTTAACTGTTTACTTCATCTGGGTTTCTTGTTTCTTGTCAGTTATTAAAAGAGACTGAAACTACTTGTTTGTATTTCATATAAATTATACATTCATTTGGGAAATGAGAAGATTCACAGAGACAAAAAACTATTGCAATAGTATTGCAATAGTATGTTGCAGTAGACTACCGCTATCGCAATAGTTGTTTCCCCCTCAATAGTCACCCCCACGTGTTTTACTTTTCATTCACATTCCTTTCGCATAAATCAGAAACGAAATCAAATATCCTCTATCTGGTAATTCAGTTAAATTCATAATTCATGGAATCCCACTGACCCCAATTCTCTAAATTCACGTGTACAGCCGAAAGGAAAACTTGACATTTGTGTGGGAATATCCCAACACTTGACCTCGATGTAAGCCGCATGATCGTGCACGAGGTCAAAGGTTAAGGGTCACTTTCATTGTGGAACTTGTTGAAGGATGACAAGCCACAGAGTGACCATCACTCTCCTTGGAACACAAGCATCCACTCGGCTTACTGGAAGTGGCAAATTCATTCTGGATGTAAGCTCCACGTGTCCGGATAAAGGACATGTTGAAGACCCTTAATTAACTATGTACAGCCTCACAAGTTTGCAGTCAATGTCAAGGTCCATTTGCTCACTATTGTACATACACACTGCATCCTCATCCTTCGAGTGAGTGTAGTTTTACGCCGCCTTTTGCAATATTCCAGCAATATCACGGAGTGGGGGGACACCGCAAATGGGCTTCACAGATTGTACCCATGAAGGGAATCGAACCCGGGTCTTCGGCGTGACGAGCGAAAGCTTTAACCACTAGGCTACCCCCACAGCCCCGATCGGTAGATGATATAGTAAATGTTGCGTGTCGTTCACCACTTTAATATGATATGACGACATTTGTCACACTCTTGATCCGTAATGCACATGGTCTTGGGAGACTAGGTTGATTAGTAACTTAAAGAATTGTAGCAGTGAGTGAGTATTGTTTTATGCCGCCTTTAGCAATATTCCAGCAATACCACGACTGGAGACACCAGAAATGGGCTTCAAACATTGTACCCATGTGGGGAATCGAACCCGGGACTTCGGCGTGACGAGCGAACGCTTTAACCATTTGGCTACCCACACCGCCCCGACTTTACTTTAACGTTTCATCACGTTGGTGCAACATATTTTGCATGGTAGTGGTTCACGGACCGGAACACATTGGGAAACAGGACGAAACATTCTGATCGTATTACCAGGACATGGTTATGTCGGCCTGTGGTAAACACTATAGGTGGCTAGTCATCACTTCCCTATGGAATCCTAGAAGGGACATCAGGGGCGGATACAGGATTTTCGTTTGGTGGGGGGTGCACCCCAATCCTCGGAACCCTGGGCATAAAACATGTAGTACATTTGGAACACTCTTGGGGGGGTGCGCACTCCCGCACCCCCTCCTCTGGATCCGCGCATGGACATTCTCGCGTTGTTGCGCGTACTAACACATCTGCACATCTTAGGCGGTGCGACAACTCGACAGCGCGACATCTTTTGACCTTGACAATTGTCGCATTGTAGCCCTTTGGATGAATAAATAATGTTATTCAAACGTGACAAATGGTCAAAATGTAGCGTTGCCGCGTTGTCGCACGTACGACAATCTCCCTTCTAGGATTCCATACTTCTATGACATTTTACCGAAAATCATAAACTGTCCCAGAAAAAATGCTTTAATTTACAGTTTCCTTCACAACAGATAGATGGTTACTGCCACAATATATACAGTGTTAACATATGTGTTTGGGGGCATTTTTAATATTTAGACTCGCATTATAATGGTTGGTTTCTTGGTTGCTTAACGCCACCCTCAGCAATATTCCCGCTATATGGCGACGGTCTGTAAATAATCGAGTCTGTACCAGACAATCCAGTGATCAGCAGCACGAGCAGCGAGTCTGACCACACGATCCCGTTTGTCGCCGTTTACAACAAGCATGGGGCATAACCTGGAGATGTTTGTTACAAGGTTCCACTCCCTAATTCACTATAACGTCCCATGCAGTGTTCGGGACGATGGGGTAGCCTAGTGGTTCCGGCGTTCGCTCGTCACGCCGAAGACCCGGGTTCGATTCCCCACATGGGTGCAATGTGTGAAGCCCATTTCTGGTGTCCCCCGCCGTGATATTGCTGGAATATCGCGAAATGCGGTGTAAAACTACACTCACTCATCACCCATGCAGTGTTCAGACACTGTACTCACGAAAAGAACTTCAGTCTAGCATCCTGGCATTTTTCATTCATATAGCACATCAACATTCCTATAGCACGCTGACATTACGTTGTAACATGACGTTACTGCTAAGGCGTTATAAAGTGAGTTATCGCTTCCAAACTTTCTCTGACCTGATAAAGTAGTAAGAATGTCAAGTGTTCCTCAAGTTGACATCCATATTTTTTTGGGGTCTTACTCGTCCTATTATTCCTTGTGAAGACTTCTGAAGTGCTTACATTGTGTGTTTAGTAACCGAAGTGAAATAACTAACTTAATCTTTAGGATAACTAAACGTATTCATATGTCAAGTATTAAACAGCATTTGTTCGGTCGCTTGACCGACCTCCTCCAACACTGCAGGTCACAAGCCACCAAACTATCATTGTATGGTCAGTCATATCAACCAATTATCAACTGTCCTTCGCTGTTTCAAAAACGTTTCTTTTCAATTTACTCATAATAACTGCCTTTTCTTTATCTACATTTAAGGTAAGTAAACTTACATTCAAGTCAAAAGCCCACTTACCGTAAATCCAATAATGAAGACAAGGAGCTCTTCTCGTACCATTGCTGTTGGAGTTGAAATATTCTTACAACACTGAACACAGTGAAAATCCTCCCAGGAAATATACAGTTCAAGGTCGGGAGCGTTTTCAACCAGACAGTAGACGTGTTTACTGTTTTCCTCCTTCGTCCTACTATATACACCAAAGAGTACATTCAGAAACGCCCAATCATATCAAAGCATCCAGGAGCATGTTTCTAAAGCTGATATTTCCATAAGAGGCGCGTACATTTATCACCGTTGTCTGGAGTATCCTTGGATCCGGTGTAAGATAATGAATGACAATGTTAGACAACGTCTCGGCTATTAAACCCCCTCAGTGGGATGGTTGCAGTGATGTGAAGTAGATAGGAAGTAAATTAGCGGCAAGTGGTGATTTGTCCTACACGAGCGTTGATAGATGAACAATGTGAGTGTAGAGGTTAGTCGTCTGGATGATGTACGGACTGCGTGTGACGGCTGGCGGTGACAGATGTAGACCCTTCTGTTCCGTAGCTGTATAAACAATAAACAACATAATTGTGCTTTGTTTCTACTTGGGAAACGTTTGGGGGGACTGTTAATTGCTTATGTAATGTACTGTAGAATATACACCATAATTGTGCTGTTTCTACTTGGGAAACGTTTGGGAGACTGTTAGTTGCTTATGTAATGTACTGTAGAATATACACCATAATTGTGCTGTTTCTACTTGGGAAACGTTGGGGAGACTGTTAGTTGCTTATGTAATGTACTGTAGAATATACACCATAATTGTGCTGTTTCTACTTGGGAAACGTTGGGGAGAGTGTTAGTTGCTTATGTAATGTACTGTAGAATATACACCATAATTGTGCTGTTTCGACTTGGGAAACGTTGGGGAGTTTCTTGTAACCAGTTTGTTGTTTATGTATTGTATGTTAGATTGTGGACAATAATTGTGCTTTGTTTCTTCTTGGCAAACGTAGGGGGCTTAATTGTTGCTTATGAAATGTACGGTAAAATTTACACCGTAACTGTGCTGTGTTTCTCCTTGGCAAACGTTTGAGGTCATTCATTATTTTTGGTCATTTAATGTAAGGTAAAATATACACCATAATTGAGTAATTGTGCTTTGCTTCCACTTGGCAAATGTTTGGTGTGATTGTTTACTGATCATTTAATGAAAGATATATACACCATAATAGTGCTTTGTTTCGATTTGTCAAACGTAGGGGCTTATTTGTTTCTTGTGAAATGTACGATAAAATAAACACCATAATTGTGCTTTGTTTATTGCTCATGTCTTATATGGTAAAATATCTTCTGTAATTGTGCTCAAAGCCATTAAACTGTTGGCTTGCATTGTTTAGCCTCCATCTTTGTTGTCTCATTAGGTTTGTTGTTCTTACATGTGCATGTACATACATGTATATATGCCCTCTGCTTCATACCATTCATTCACCTGAGACCCGTGAAGATCCGGGGTAGAATAGGTCTTCAGCCACCCATGCTTGCCACAAAAGGCGACTATGCTTGTCGTAAAAGGCGACAAACGGGATCGGGTGGTCAGGCTCGCTGACATGGTTGACACATGTCATCGGTTCCCCATTGCGCAGATCGATGCTCATGCTGTTGATCACTGGATTGTCTGGTCCAGACTCGATTATTTACAGACAGCAGCCATATAGCTGGAATATTGCTGAGTGCGGTGTAAAACTAAACTCACTCACGCACTCATTCACCTGATGAAGGAGTAAGGATACTCCGAAGCGTTGTGTTCCTCATGATAAAGAAGTTGACATCCATAAAAACTCTCTTCCTTATGTGTATCACATCTAAATGTCATTAAAAGACCTGAATTGTGCTTTGTTTCTATTTGGCAAACGTTTGTGGGATTATTTCTTGCTCGTGTAATGTCCGGTAAAACATGGACCGCCTCCGTGGTGTAGTGGTTAGAGCGTCCGCCCGGAGAGCGGAAGGACGCGGGTTCGATCCCCGACCGCGTCATACCAAAAGACGTTAAAATATGGTACTTGTTGGTCCCTGCCTGGCGCTCGGCATTAATGGGTACAACAAGGACTGGTCGGCTCGGAGTCAGTATAATGTGTCTGAGTGGGGTATTCATGCTTCACTGCGGCATGGTATCTCAGTGGGCTAGCTCTATAAAACCAGCTTAAGTCTGGGATAGTACAAGCAGCCGCACATACACATACACACGTATGCACGTCGTCATATGAGCGAAATATTCTCAAGCACGACGTTAAACCCAATTTCACCTCACCTCACCTCGGGTAAAACATCGCCATAATATTGTTTTGTTTCGACTTGGCAAACGTTCGGAGGCATTGTTTGTTGTTCATGTAATGTCCGGTAAAATATGCACCATCATTGTTCTTTGTTTCAACCGGGCACACGTTGTCCGATGATTATTTGCTGCTCATGTAGAGTACGGTAAAACATAAAGCTCATATCATATTTCAAAATATGGACAAACAATTTATGGTCCCTAACATTTTTCGCTTAGTATATCTCCAGCATGCATCATTTTAGATACAAAGCTTGTCAAATGGTATGATAAAATAAGATAAGGAATTTACAGTCAACTAAATCACGACAGAGAACTATACATACGATTCACTCATGATATATATCACAGTGCATTTGATTTATGATTTATGCAATAGTCGATAGGCAGGTAATTAATTCAGTGATCTGTTCATGTAAAGCTGATTGATTGACAGTAATCGATATGAAAGATTAGCGGAACCCGTTTGTTCTCGTTTTCGGAACAGGCAGCGTTTGATCTGATGTTAAGGTTATTTATAGTCAGAGAACAATACATGGCTATTGTTACTTAGTATCTTATGTGCATTGTTCATTATTGGTTCTTTAGGGTGCATGCAGAGGCAAGGCCGAGTAATTATTTTGCAATATTTAAAATTTCCATTATTCAATTTTGGTTTTGGACGAGTCGATTTCTGAGCTAGTAGGGGAATTGAAAAGTTAGTATCATCTGTGTGAAGGTCTTGTAAAAGGAAAGAATTGATTTGATTTGCTTTCTAGAAGTTGGTGAGTTAGTAAGGAAGGATACGTCTTATTTGATAACAGCTTCTTGTATACTGCAGAGAGCGACGTTTCGGTGTAGATTCTTACACCATTATCAAGATAAAGTGTACGAATCCCCAACAACCGCACGTACGCCCCACATGTAGCTATGTAGATTAAACTGTCTTGGCGTGACGGGTAGGTGGGGTAGTCTAGGGGTTAACGCGTTCGCTCGTCACACCGAAGACCCGGGTTCGATTCCTAATATGGGTACAATATGTGAAGCCCATTTCTGGTGTCCCCCCGCCGTGAATATTGCTGGAATATTGCAAAAGGCGGCGTAAAACTAAACTCACTAACTCCTTAGTCTAGTGGACATAGCGCCTCCCCAGAGAACGAATGGTCGGCGGTTCGAACCCCGGTCATGTAGTACCAAGATATGGTCTTCAGTGACCCATGCTTGTCGTAAGAGGCGACTAACGGGATCGGATGGTCAGCTCGCAGACTTAACTGGGACATGTCATCGTATCCGACTGCGTACACGTAGATCGACACTCATGCTGTTGATTTCTGGATTGTCTGGTCCGGACTCGATTATTTACAGACCGCCGCCATATAGCTGGAATATTGCTGAGTGCGTCATTAAACAACCAACCAACCAACTACAATATGTGAAGCCCATTTCTGGTGTCCCCTGCTGTGATATTGCTGGAATATTGCTAAAAGCGGCCTAAATCCAAGCTCACTCACGCACTCTAACATGTACCTGGCTGGTAATGCTGATATCCACGCCATGTTGTTTATCCCTGTAATATATGACCACTGTGTAGAGACAGGCCACTGCGATGATAAATCTCGCACTTTTCACATGCTGAATAAGTACAATGAGTGTAGTGTTTGAACGCACCTGTCATTCATCACCACGTATAGGAACTCGGCATTAGTCATTGTTTGTCTGTTGTAGCATGTTTACAGGCTATGTAATGTCACCTCAATTAATAGGAAATGTACACAGTGGATATAACAGATGTGACTATTAGAGGTTGGTGGGCATGTTTTAAACATCGAATGTGCCTATATATGAACGATTTTGTAATTTATGTATGAATGGATGTATAGAAGATGAATACCATTTTCTGTTAATATGTAAAGTTTATTCCATTTTAAGACAAAAGTATATTCCTGAAAATGTCTGGAAATATCCCTCTATTTATAAATTTAACATGTTATTAAGTAGTGACAAAGTGAATATCCTAATTAACTTAGCAAAATTTGTAAAAGAAGCTTTAACGTAAAGAAGTGCTTAAAAGGTGTATCCAACCATTTTGTCACTTGCATTATTATTTTGTGAGTTTTTGTACTTGGGCCTATGGTCTTTATACGGAATAAAAAAAGTTATACGATACACGATGTTTTTTCTGTCACCCATACAATATAGGTGTACTGTGATTATTAAATCCCGAGGACAGAGGTATAACACACGATCCTTTACTAGAACCAGCATAGGCAGATGCTTTGCCAACACTATCACCCCATAGCCCTACCGCTCAACACATCCGCACATACACATACAAACACGCACGCACGCATACACACTACCACCATGTCATAATCAGTACCATGAAGTTAGAAGCATACTTTCCATATACTTTTTATGACCGAATTGTTTTATTATCAACAAAAACAATAATCATTTGAGAAATATTTGGCGAACAAACGCAGCATGGTTCCCGAATTGTGTGCATTCATGTGGAATGCTTTTGTTTCTATATTTATTTTTGAGGGTTCTCCGTCTATACTTACCACAGTAGGTTTTAAATCCGGTTACTGTTAACAGGATATATACAATGTCGACTTTTGAAATCATTATAGTGTGTAATCTCGCTATGTTTCGTGTGTATCGGGTATTATATTGTTAGAATTAAAAATCTTAGACTACGTGCCACACATAGTTTATATTTGTTTTGAATAAGTACGATTTTCTGTTCTCTTTTCTTAATTACATTGGTACGCCTATGAAACAGCCCAAAATGCATCAAACACTGGAAAAATGTAGTAGGTGTAGGTGATGATTAGCCGAGGTCACACGAAGAAGGAAAGGAACATGTATGAAGGAAAAAAAATTTTTAAGCGAACATGACCTCATGCAAATAAATAGTTTGATGAGGCTACAGCATGTAGTGTCAGGAATATTTGTAAAATTTCCTGTGTTTTGTTTACTAACAATGGAAAGTTTAAAAAAATAGGAAATCCTACTTTATAAAATTTTTTAGGAAATCCTAGTTTATAAATATATGACTAAATATGAAAGCTTTGAGTGATATCTATTTAAGGTATTATCATCATAAGTGTAATCAACTTTATAACAATTGATTTCAAGAATA